AATCAGAATTTTAAAAATAGAAATAGAATCTTTTAAACTTTTACTTATTTCGAAATAAGTTTAATTTTAAAATCTCCAATATTTAAATTCAATTATATTTTAGTTTCACAAATTTTATATATAGATTTTAAACACTGAATAACATCATGTGTATAAAAGCTAAACTTTATTGAATGTTTTTTTTTCAATTAAAACTCTACCAGTTCATTATTTGATTGAATTTAAATTAGATCATTCTAATTACAATATTAAATACTAGTAATAAATATAAAAATTTAATTGGTTAATTTGAATTATGTAAGTAGTGCAAAAATTTGATTGATCAATCTGAATTGGACCTATTTGCCCTTGTCCAATTGGTCCAATTTCATATTCTAATTAAATTTTAATTGCAGACTTCTAATTGACAACACTGATAACAAGTATATCTGTAAATTCTTGAAATAGTGAGCTGGACATTATTTCAAATTTTGGACTAAATTAAACTTAATTCGAGCTGAAATTAATAATGCCCATTCTGCTATTTCAAAATTTTATGATCATGCTATTTTTACTTTATATTTATTTATTTTATATGCCAATATAAGCATCTAATTTTTTTTTATTTTTTCTTTAGATAATTTACAGATTCACAAATAACATGGATAATGATTGAAATACTCTCTAAGATTAGATTTTTTAGTATACACATATCTCTGTATTGGCTTTAGGTATTCACTCATTCAAGTATCATGAAAGGTATAAATATAAGCTGCCTGTTTCAAAAAAGTTACTAGAAACTTCTGTTATTTGCGTATCTGTCTTGTATCCCTCATCACATTATGGAATAAAACTTACTATTTCAATCTATAAAAACAATGTTAATAAAATTAGTATAATAATCAATGAAGATAAAAAAGATCCAATGACGATGCTGATGAAGATAAAAAAGAGATCATAGAATATTTTAACAGTGATGTTGAAGATAATAGCAGTGAAGAAGACAATAAATATACAAATATTTGCTTCAATAGTATTTCTTTCTGAAAATCAGAAAATTATAAGGTCTGATATTAAACCCTTTTTGGTAATAATTTAAATATAATTAGTCAAATGTATCATTCTTTCTTTACAGTAAAAAAAAAGTTCAAAATAAAGAGAATTTTGATCACATTATACAAATTATTAGGTGAAAATAAAATTTATAATATAAAAAGTCACCTTTGTCACTATTAATTCATATTATTATATTGTTCTCATGAATGGCGTCAATATTAGTTTATTTTTTAATTACATAATAGCTACTATTACTAATAAAGGATATTAGAAAGAACATGTAGTAATTATGAAAATTTTGTAGCATCTGTTACTGGAATCATGAATCTACTGTTAAATTTTTCTGCTCATTTACACTATTATTGACTTAGAAACTCATCACTAAAATGAAAACACAAACTATTGAAATCACTATCTATCCATTACTAAATTATAAACTATCTATTAATAAATCTTAACTCATTGTTAAAAGCACAAACCTATTTGCCATCACCAAAAAGAATTTTAAAAAAAATATAAGATAATTTCAAGATAAATTATATATATGCTCCAATTTTTGGAATTTGAATTAGGCTTTTTAGAGTTTGCTTTTTTTAAATTTTAAAAGCAAATAACTTTTAATTTACAAGTTTTTAAAGAATAAATTATTATTATATTTACCTCTTTAATATTATTTTAATAAGTTTAAAATCAGCATTAGACTTATTAGAATCATATTAAAGAGGTGAATATAATAATAATAAAATTATTTAGTTGATCTTTAGTAAAGGTAGGCATATATAATTATTATACAATTATAACATATATAATTTAATTATTTTAAACTAATTTAAGTAATTTTATAAATTATTAGGGTCAGTGTTAAGGTTAGGATTTAAATTGGCTCAAATTAGTTAGGTTTTATATATTATAATCTTGTAATAATTTATATATACCCACCTATACT